ATGGGGCCTCAATCTCCATGAGCTGATACAGGAATTATCTAATAATTAAGACTGTGACAGTTGTAAACAGCATCATCTCTACCTGACTTGCACAGAAAATGTTTTGTTATATGGGCACCCAAAGGATCAAAAAGAAGCCTGAAGCATCAGAGGTGAGCTGGAACCGAGGAAGCTGGTAGATTGTCAGGGTGTTGTCACCAAAAACAGTCTGCCAAGGCTGCCACGGCTGGCCTGAGCACCATAAAGCACTTGCTGCCACACCATGGCATTCTGCTGTTGGTCATTCAACTCTCAGCTCTGCAGTGGCCACTTCTAACAATCTCCATTTGAATTTTTGCCATTGCATCATAACACACATATCCATACAATAACAGCCAGTCCATGGGGAAGGAGAGATTTGCCCACCTTGGGTTCATGAACTCTACCTCTTTCCTAGTATTTAAACAAAATAAAGGTTCAGTTCATTTTCAAAGAGACGAACCTTGGTGTAAATTGTAGAGAAGAAGTAGAAACAGAAGCAGGGTGATTGACACTACAGAAAGATTTCTATGCCTTTTAAATTTCCCATATAAGTTGATAGTTTTATTAATCATTAGTCATTGAATTATATAAAAGTATATTAAAATTATATAAAATTATATGATTATATCATTTAAATTAATTACAATTATATGTAATTGATCATTAAGTTGTAATTTATAATTGCCTTGGTTAATGTTTGATGTTTAAACTGTGGGAAAAAAAAAAGCGGTCAGGAGAGAAGCACTACCTGGTGTGTGCCTGCCATCTAGTGGCCAAATCCAATACTAGCATAGAAATCCTCCAGGGTCCGATGATGAGGTTGGCCACAATTTTACAATGTTCATAGTGCTGTGTTCTAACCCACTATACGAGGAAGTATTCTTTGACCTTGGAGGTGACCTTTCATTCTGTACAATTGGAAACAAAACACTGTTTTTCCTTTAACAACTAAGCATTATTTCTTTCCCCTGATCTCCAAAGCTAAATCCCTTAAGAGATTTTTCTTTTACTCAGTTCTAGAAACGTGCTTTGAGCATGCTGTTCTCTCACAGAATAGTTCAGCCATGTACAAATGGTTTCTAAAGCGAGTCCTCGTTTACCCCTCTGTCCATAGGACTGATAAAATCTGTTTAAAGAAAATAAACTGGTCACTGGTAGCTTATGCCTGTAGAGAATAGCGTTTCAAAGCCAGCTCTGGCAGGAAAGTCCATGAGACTCTTATCTCCAATAAACTACTCCGAAAAAATCAGAAGTGATGCTATGGCTCAAGTGGTAGAGTGCTGGCCTTGAACAGAAGCAGCTCAGGAACAGAGCCTAGGCCCAGAATTCAAGCCCTAGAACAGGCAAGAAACAAACAAATAAAAATAAATAAATAAATCAAGCAAGCAAGCTAGGTGATCATGGATTTTTACAATTATTTCAAATAAGGATGGGGTGGGGGAAGAAGGATGGTGTGGGTAAGTAAGAATAGACTATTTCCTTCTTGTTAAGACTTAGAAAGCAGTGTTGGCAAGGCTCCTTACCTTATAGGTGACATCCACACAACCAATTTCTCATGTGTGTGTATGTGAGTAATAAAACTGACCTACATCCAAGACGTCTTTCCCACAGCAACACTTTTTTTTTTCTCTCTAAGAACATTCTCAAAAGGAAATGATCTAATAAAGTCAATGCAGGTAGTGGGTTAAGACAGCTTCCAACCAAGCCCTGGGCTTCATGAACATGCTATTTTCTTTATTAGTACTATCCCAAAGAGTTAATGAACATTTCATCTGAATGTGGAAGTGGGAGCAGGATATGAAGCATTGTCCAGGAAAGTAAGATAGATACAAGGTTTGGGGATTGAAGAACTGGTAGACTGGGTTGGAAGATGAAGGATTTTTTTCATGGAAGTAACATCATCTGATTATAAGAGTTCTGCTCATCAGAATAGATGGAGCATTTTAGCAGAGGCCTGGAAAAGATAGTTATGGTTTCCCAAGTGAGGGGGCCTCCCTTCCTTTCTTGGATATTCCCATCCATCTTGCCTGCCTTCCCCTTTTCTCTTCTAGTGATGTCCTTGGCCTCCTTTACTTTGGCAGACTTTCTTTTCTTTAAGCGGCCATGACCATTTTATTGTACATATACACAATCCTTGTAATTTCTTGTAATTTTTTGAATGTGTAAATTAAAGCTGGTGAGCTGAAACTTGTATTATCTCTCTCAAAAAAAAATAAGTCTCATATCTAAAATATACCTGGAACTCAAAAAATTAAACCACCCAACAACAAATCCTCAAAGAAACAACTGCCCAATAAGTAAGTGGGCGAAAGACTTAAAGAGAAGCTTCTCTGAAGAAGAAAGAAGGATGGCCAATAGACACATGAAGAAATGTTCAACATCCCTAGCCATAAAAGAAATGCAAATCAAAACAACATTGAGATTATCACCTCACTCCAGTTAGAACAGCAAAAATCAAGAACTCTAACAACAACAGATGCTGGAGGGGATGTGGACAGAAAGGAACCTTACTTCATTGTTGGGAATGTAAACTTGTTCAACCACTTTGGAAAGCAGTATGGAGGTTTCTCAAAAGACTTCACATAGAACTCCCCTATGACCCAGCAATCCCACTTTTGGGCATTTACCCTAATGTTTACAAAAAAGACCACGCTAAAGCTACCAGCACAACTATGTTTATTGCAGCATTATTTACCATAGCTAAGATATGGAACCAACCCAGATGCCCCTCAGTAGATGACTGGATCAAGAAAATGTGGTATATATACACAATGGAATTCTATGCCTCCATCAGAAAGAATGACATTTCCCCATTTGTTAGGAAATGGAAAGGCTTGGAAAAAATTATATTAAGTGAAGTAAGCCAGGCCCAAAGAAACATAGGTCCCATGGTTTCCCTTATTTGCAATATCTAGTATAGGTATGAGTCAAGCGGAAAAAGAGAATGTGATGTTAGGAAAACAAACCCTCAAATATGTATTTTAATGTTTTTGTTTCTTTCATGCATGTGTTTCTAACGCATTTATAAGATTATTTCTTTGTTGCTTTGTATGTCCCTCCCCCACAGTGTAACCCCCGCTTTCACTATATTTGATGTCAGTATAACATGTGGAGGAGACGGGGACAAACAAGTCGTTTAAGGATTCAGGTGGACCTGTTGCAACAATGAGAAGTACAAAATGTCATGTCAAAACCAGCTTTACAATGTTGGTGGGGGGGGGGGAGGGGGTATGATTGGGTGGGGGGGAGGGGAGAGGCTGGGAAGGGAGGTGAAGGGTAAACAAAGGAGGAGGCTGCAATGCTTGGTAAGAAATGTATGCATTATCCTGCCCATGTAATTGTAACCCCTCTGTACAGTATGTTCTCAAATAAAATAAAATTAAAAAAAAAATAAGTCTCTAGTAAAATTTCTTAATTCTCCATGATCTTCACATTGTTTTACTGTTAATGTATTGTATTCTGTTAACTTTCCTCTTGCAGGAGAAAAAAACAACAAAACTCTGTTTCCTAAAACAAAAACGTCCCTCCCTCTCTCATCAAAGCCTAGTAGCCTAGTGTTGCATTAGAGACTATTCTTAGAATGCTAGACCATCTGTGTTTTTTTAAAGTGAATAGCCTTAAATAAATCAATCATGCAAAGAAGTTAAAAGTATTCCACAAATACCATAAATATAAATTAAATAATATTTTAGATGAGTGATAAGAATGTGAGGAGCATACTTAATCGATTGGAGCTGGAGACTGAACCCAGGGTTTCCTACATTCAGCAGCAACTACACCAGGGCGCCTTGCCTGAACCCTCCAGCTCTAGCTTCTCCCGATTAGAGATGTACAGTTGATTTCTATGGTAAAAGTTAAATTTTTAAAGGAAGTTCCAATTTTATACCAACCCACTCTCCAGCGTATCTGAAATGAATATTCAATGCTGAGGATAAAATAAAATGATTCACAGGGACAGAACGCCTCTCATTTCGTTGATTAAAGAGACACAGAATCCTGACTGGCACTTCCCATGCATTAAAAAAGTGTGTGTGTGTGTATGTGTGTGTGTGTGTGAATGGAGAACTCACTTGTTTAATCAAGTCATTGAAAGATAACAAAGAGCTTAATTCCTCCCAGTGACTGTCAATCGGCACTTTACACAGATAGTAAATAATTTCAATATGGTTACTGTGTGGGGTAAATATACATATTCACCCATGTTCAGTAAAATGGTGCTCATTGTATGTCTCCATTACATATATAATTCGAATACCCGCCATCCATTTCCCCGTTTCCATATGGAATAGAGTGAGTTTGTAAACAGATGAACCAGAAAACAAAATACACCCCCACAGTGGAAAAAAAGTTTATTTTTTTTCCATTCACCTATCACAAAATCGGGACGTTGGCTGTTAGCACCACTGGGGGCCCTTGCGGGGTCTGAGCCTGCGCCTTACCATCAGCTACCTGGGATCCGAGAACCTTGCAGGGAGGACTCGCCGGACCCTGGAGAGGGGCGGTGGTGCGGCACGGGATGGCTAGGTCACTGAGAACTTCTGCCAGGAACTCCCGCAGTCTCTGGGCTCTCGGCCCTTAGGCTTGCTCCCCAGGCTGCGCCCCGCCCTTGGTGATGCATGTCTGCCCCCTACCTCCAATCTGTATGGAACGTGGTACCCTCGGTGCGTCTGCGGGCCTGCTACCCGCGGCCCCCCTCGCCAACTTTCGGGCACCCACAAAGTTTTGAAGCTCCCCCCCCCCAGAGACATTTCTAAGGGTCGCTGGCGCCCCACGCCGCCACCCCCAGCGAGCAGCCCCCGAGCCCCTGCTAGTCCCCCCCGAATCCGGGGGTGGGCGGCCCCGAGTCCCCCCGCCGCCCGCCCGAGGGCGCAGCGGGCCGGGTGCGGTGTGTGGGGGGAGGCCGGGGGTGGGGAGGACGGCGCGGGGGCGGAGCGCAGCCCGCCCCTCCTCCGCGTCCTCCACGGCCTCGTCCTCCTGCCGCCGCCGCCTCCGCGAGGCTGAGTCTCCGCGAGTCCGCGGCGCCGGCGCGTGGCTGCGGGATGGGCACGCCGAGTTAGCGCCGCCACGGCGGCCGCCGTGGCCGCAGCGCCGCCGCCGGCCGCCGCCCCCGGGCCCGTCCCGCGCGCAGCGCCGGGCGCCGTCAGCCCGGCCCGGAGCCAGGCCCGCGGGCGGCGGCAGCAGCGGCAGCGGCCCCCGAGCTGGGCAGGTGGCCGCGGCTGGAAGATGGCGCCCTCGGGCCCGGGCAGCGTGCGGCGGCGGTGCCGGCGGGTGCTGTACTGGATCCCGGTGGTGTTCATCTGCCTCCTGCTGGGCTGGTCCTACTACGCCTACGCCGTCCAGCTGTGCATCGGTGAGCGCGCGCGCGGGGCTCCGCGGGGCGGGAGGGCGGCCGCCGTCGGGTCCTCGGCCCCCCGCGCGCCCGCGCCGGCCCGGGACGCGGGGAGCCCCGCGCGCTTCCCCTCGCTCCGTCCCCGCCGTCTCCCCGCCCCGACCCGCGGCGCTCGGGCCACCGTGTCACCTCCACCCCAGGCCGGCGCCGCCGGGCACCGCGGCCGCCTGGGGCTCCCCTCGGCCACCCCAGCCACACCCCCTAGCCGGAGCCTCCGCGGCTGTCCACGGCTGCCCCCCCACTGTCCACCTCCACCCCGCCGGGAGGCCCTGGAGGCTGGGCTGGAGCAGCGGGAGCTGGGCCCGCGATCTCAGAGTTGCCTCGGACCCAGGCGGGGGAGGGGGGCAGGCTGGCTTCGGCCTGGGGCGGCCGAACTGATCCCTGTCTGGTTGTCAGGAATCCACTTCAAAAATGCGGTGACATTGGAGCTGCTTTTATGGGGTGGGTGGCGATCGCCGCTTCTTAATGGAGAAGATGTGAAGGGGGGCGCGGGGGATGAGCTCCCAGAAAGTCTTTGCAAAGATTTGTGCACCCTACTTTAGAAAAATACATAGAAAAAAAAAATAAGTGGTCCCCAGTGCAAGATGTAGGTAGATGGAGGGGAGGGGAGTTTCGAGGCTGCCCAGTGGTGGGGTTATTCAAGTATGCAAACCAGGGAAGGCAAGTGTGTGTTCTGTCTTCGGAGGTTTGGGAAAGCTGATCTGGGTTAAGGGAGGAGAGGGAGGGGGGTGGGGAAGAGAAAATGGGAAAACAGATTTCTGCCTGTTTTCTACGTGAGGTGTTTCACCTCACAAAGTGTCTGTGTTTACACTACCGAGGACTCCATGGATGGAATAGGAAAGAGTAAATAGTGCCCCATTATGGAACCTGTGTATCTTGGGCTATTTTCAAAGCTCCATGATTGAGATCTTGTCTTGTCTGGAGCCATCTTATCTTTATATCTATTTCCTGGTGAGAAATAGTGTCAGAAAATATACCCAAATAGTGACTGCCATAAGTTCAGAGAATTGAGATGGGCTTCCCATTCGTATCATTTTTGAATAGTGTTAAATTTGCTGTTGTTTTGTTTACTAAATTTAGAAATCTTTAGACAAAAAGTGGGTTTTTTTTTTGTTCTGTTGAGAGTAGTTTGTCCCGACATCATCTTGATGTATCTAGATGTGTGATGTTCTGCTCATGTACAATGTATGAGAATCAATGTCTGAGAAGAAAGTACTGCAATTTTTGCATCTGCAGTATTCAAACGGCTTACTTCATTGATAGATACTCTATATGTTGTGTAACTATTAGGAACCCTTGTGTTTTATTCCTTCAGCTCTTCGAAATAGTGAACAGTATCAATTGGTATAACTGGTACAAAGGAGGAAAGTCCTAGAAGGTCTTCATTATCAAAATAGGCAGCTTACTGCTTTTTATTATCACATTAAGCTAAGAAGCTTAGTCTGGCACAGTGTCTAATGCTCATCAGATGGAAGCACTGGGAAGCAGAGAGCTTCTCTTGCCCAATAGGTATGAGGTGACATCGCATTGTAGTGAACATGGAGGTGATGGGTAAGGAACTAAATAGCAAAGTGTTGTTGCATGAAAACTGGATTTTAAAGAGTTTTTGGTAAGTTTAAGAAAATGTGTTCATGGAATTTGTACCATTGTTTTGGAGGCAGTATGAAGGCCTCAGGGCCTCAGCTTCCTTGGCGGATGCTGTACCACTTGAACCATACCTCCATCTCTGTATTTTGCCAGTTATTTTGGAGATGGAGTCTAATGAACTGTTCTACCTGACTTGACTCAAAACAATATCCTTCAGATCTCAGCCTCTGGAGTAGCTAGGATTACAGTTAGAAGCTACTGGTGCTTGGCTTTGTATCCCTATTTTTATAAGCTCCACTAATGGGAAGATTCACTCTTTTTCCTATTTGATGCAAGTCCCAGGGGCTTGAACTCAGAGCCTGAGCACTGGTTCCTGAGCTTTTGTGCTCAATTCTAACACTCTACTGTTTGAGTCATAGCTCCATTTTCCAGCTTTTTGATGGTTAATTGGAGGTAAGAGTCTCACAGACTTTCCTGCCTGGGCTGGCTTTGAACTGTGATCCTCAGATCTCAGTCGCCTGGGTAGCTAGGATTACAGGCGTGAGCCGCTGGTACCCAGCTAAGATTGCTTCTTTTTGTACTGCGTAAGTGACATGCTGTAGCCTACAGTTTATACCTGGTGATACTAAGTGATGTCTCCTACCACTCCTCCACACAGGAAAAGCAGTCATCAAATAAGTGATTCTGAGGCAGTAATCCCTAGGTTTTCAGAAAGTAGCTTTTGTATTTTTATTGCCATAGAAACAAACGGGAAGTGATCATTTTGAAGGGTGTTAGGTCTTAGAAGGAACAGTGGAAGACAAATGTGACTATGGAGACTTTGACAGTTTCGACTTGGTATGTCCTAAAAAACTTACACCGCCTTGGCTGGGTGGTGCGTTGATATTTCGTAGTGTTCCTATGTAGGCACTGGAAAAGATGGCGACCAAGGTGACTGATAAACACACCAGCTCCTGCTGCTTTCCACAAACAAAGTGAAGGGGAATGAATGCCAGCCCCCACCCCCACTCCCAGCATTAGTCGCCCTTCATTCTGCCCTGCCCTTCGTGGATCTGTTTTGCTCCTCTTGAAATTTGCTATTTACAATCCGATTTTACAAGTTTCTTGTGTAAAACATGACCCAGGCTTGGCACCAGAGGGTTAAGGGTCAGGGGGCTGGGAAGTGATGTAGGTAATAACATGAAGCAGAGTGATTGGCCCTACCTCTCCTTCCACATCTGCTGTCAGCCAGTGACGACCCTGAATCCAAATTACTCCCTGCCCTTTGCTGAATGAACTGCAATTTAGGAGTAGTTCTTATCCTGGTATCCTTGGAAACTGGAGATAATGATTCTCGTTACAGTTAGTTTCTATATTTAACAACGTGTATGTGTGTGGCTCTCTAGGCACTTTTTTCTGTGGGCATAATTTTTGCTTAGTGTTTGTATTTTTATTAAAAAAAAAGCTCACTCCCTCTTGGAATATATATATATATATGTACATATCTATATATATCTCTCTATATAAAACAGATGGATGTACAGATATTGTACGAGAGTGTTTCAGGTAGGGCCTCATTCCACCAAAGAAAATCAAATCGCAGTGCTATACTAGCAATCCCTGGGAATGTGTTTATCTAATTCTTTGATTAATAAGGCTCTTTTATTCATATTATCCCTACTCTTTTCTTCCTTCTCCTTTTTAACCTTCTCCACCTCTAACTTATTGCCTAACCTATCTTTGATCCTTCTAACTATTAGCTAGCTTGTTTTCCATAGGTCAGATAGATTTCAAGGAATACATATATATATATATATACACACCCAAATATGTATATGTGTGTATGCATATGTATACATGTGTATGTGTGTGTGTGTGTCTTGAGGATTAAGGGTATCTGCAACCTCAGACATGCTTGGTTTGGTTTGATGGATGTTGGATCTGGTGTGTGTTTTACAGATCCATTTCCTGTGCTTGTAGAAGGCGCAACCACAGCTTTCTCTTTCAAGTGCTAGCACTTCCACTGGTTTTCAGTTGTGGTCCTCCTTGTTTAACTATTATAGACTCTATTTTTCCAAAAATGTATTGCTTTCCTGCTTTCACCTGAGGCACGTGCAATGAGCTATTATTATGGCATGAGCTCATATTTCTAAGTTTGCTTATTATTTCACCTAAGTCATTTTAAACACTCATGATGATGGAAAAGTTTAGAGGTCATCTAGGTCAACCTTCCTGCATTGTCAACAAAGCCATGAAATGTTCAAGTGGAGAAAAGTTGTGTTCTTTCTCCAAGTTACTTAGTCGGAGTGTCAGGTCTGACTTTCACTGCTGTGGTATAATTATCAAGATGTCTCCCTTTCTCACCAAAATCCCTAGCCCAGTGTAGCAAGTTGTTTTGTTTAACCTTGGCATTGTTATTTCATAAGCACAGACCTCTGAAAATAAGCCTTTACACAATGAGTTCAGAGTTGTAGAAAGTTTTATAGTTTGGGCCATATTTCTGACTTTGTAAGCAATCAAGTCTCTGTTACAGCTTCTCAGCTCTGCCTTTGGAAAAAGTAGCCATCAAGATATTTTAATAAATGAGCATGACTGTGTTCCAATAAATGTTATTAACAAAAAAGTTGGCAGGGCAGATTTGACCCTTAGCAACCATTTATTGACCTATAAGGTATGTTAGAAGTTAGACTATTACAAATACTGACGTTTTACTCACAGTTTTGTTTCCATAATAAATATTCCTCAGCAGTGATTACAACCTTTTACATTCCACAGTGGTTACTGAAGATGTTTAAGAATTAGAAAAAGCTGGGCTGGGAAGGTGGCTCAGTGGTAGAGTGCTTGCCTTGCATGCCTGAGGCCCTGGGTTCGATTCCTCAGCACCACATAAGAAAAAAGCCGGAAGTGGCACTGTGGCTCAAGTGGTAGAGCGCTAGCCTTGAGCTGAAGAGCCGAGGGACAGTTCCCAAACCCAGAGTTCAGGCCCCATGACCGGACTCCCCCCCCCCCAAAAAAAAGCTGAATGTGGTAGTGCATGACTATAATCTCAGCACTCTGGAGGCAGAAGAATCTAGAATTTGAGACCAACCTGTGTCAAATAGTAAGTTTGAAGCCAGCCTGGACAGAACCCATAATAAAATTTTCTCAAAAAACAAGACCAAAAAATAGAAGACTTAATCTGCATACTTAGGAAACGATTGAGACATAAAGTCATGTTTTCTATTGCTTAAACAAATAAGCAAGTAAAACAAATATCTCTGAGGGTAAAATACATGTGAAATATTTGGGTTCTGTTAAGCAATGATCTGGTAAGCTCAGGCTATGCAGGCTCAAAAATTGAGATCCAAGAGGACTGTAAAAGTTGTCTTCCATCATGGCATGAATTTGAATTACAC